CTTGGACAAATCACGTGACCTGCTCTGTGACTCAGTTTCCCCATTGGTAAAATGGGGATAATGATATTGGATTTGGGCTCCAGTGCTGTTGATTCGGCACAATATTCACTAGAACAAACAGAGAGGGTGATGGAGGGGAGAAGTGATGCCAAGGGGGAATCTTGGTTAGTTTTTTTCCCCCGGTTAAAAGAAATAACCCAAAGTGGAGCTCTGATGTACAGTGCTTGGAGATTACTGATGGAAAGGGCTAGCTGTTCTTATTATCTCCCACTGGTCTGTGAGCAGCCAGCCAATGGCAGCTTCTCGTCACTCTTACCTGAGGCTGGATTAGAACCCGTGACTGGGAGGCGAAAACCCCAGGGCACAAAGACTTTTATTTTGAGTTCGCTCTCTGCTCCCTAAGAGCCTCTTGCACAAAGGAAAGCGCAGGGCTTAAATTCAGCCGGAGCTGTCCGGAGCCGAGCTCTGGTAAGTATTTTCAAACATTGACTCCAGGCTGATGCTGTTGCGGTTCTCAACCGGGGGTCTGCGGCCCTCTGGGGATCCACAAGCTGGTTTCAGGGGGTCCACGGGGCCCTGCGGCTGAAGGCTGGAGTCCCGAACCTGGGTGTGATCTGAAGGGCTGAAGCCCTGAGCCCCAGCATGCCCTGCGGAGAATTGGGGGGGGGGCATGGTGTGCTCCAGGAAATATTCAATGAGAATTTTAGCTCTGGGACAGAGTAAAAGGTATTGGGGTGGGGGATTAGTGGGGAACAGCATCAGCAGGGGCATGGCCTTGTGGCCGTGGCAGGCATTGACACCACAGGCTCTGCCAGGCATCTGTGTGCCCGGAGAGGAGTGTGCTCCAACTGGTGCCGCATGTGCCAGTGAAGGCACTGTTAGAATTAAGCAAGGAGCCGCCTCTGTCGACAGGGGAGTGCTGATTGGCAGGGATGGGGGGGCTGCAAGTCACCCCTGTGAGCCTTGATTTCCTGTCCAATCCTTCCAATCTCTCAGTTCCCCGCAGCAATTTTCTGCCCCGCTCACAATCCCCCTCCTTGCAGCGATCAGAGGAGACCGGCAGCTCCATGACAGGGACCATCGCAGGGGTCCCCTCCACGCAGGGAAAGGTCACGGTTGTGAGGGCCCCGATCAGGGAAAGGGAAGCAGCGAAGGTACCAAATGCGCCGCTGCACGTCTGTGGATTTGATTTCCCTCAGGACCGGAGGTTCCCGCTCACAGTGTCCTCGTCCAGATGAATTTGTACGGCAACATGTTTCCAACCCTCAATGGCGTTAGCTGTAAAAGGTGCCAAGTGGAAAGCAATTGCCACCGATCTGGCTAATGTGTTTCCACACTTGTGCTGTAGGGCCCGAAAGACTTTTTTAAGGCCAGGATTCTTGAGAGGACAACGCTCCGCAGTGCACTGTAATGCATCCACAAACCAATAATGCCCCCTGGTCCCAGCGCCTCACAACCACGGCCTGCAGCAAGCCTGGGAAAGCAGGGCAGGGTGCTCCTCCCACCTGGGCACTCGCTGTCCCTAGCCCAATGACCACCTGCCGCCATATAGAGCAGCAAGTCGTGGTTGTTCACGATGCCAGTCATGGGTAGTGCATGACTCCTGTATTTGGGGAGGCTGGACGTGAGCACTGGAAGTTCCCTAGAAGCAGGAGGGGCCCCTGGCGCCTGGCCCATGACCCGCCCCCTGCTCCATCCCAAGGCCCAGCCCCGCTTGGCCCCCTTCCCCGAAGCCCCCCCCACCTGCCGCTTGCGCCTCCTCACCCCCTCCCTCGAGGCCACCTGGCCGTCGTTTCCCAGCGGGCAGGGTTGCCTTGGGGGTGGGATGGGAGAGGCGCAAGCAGCAGGGCTGGGGGTCCTCAGGGAAAAGGTGGAGCATGGGCAGGACCTCAGGACGGGGGAAGAGGGAGGAGGAGCAGTGTGGGCAGGGCCACGGGGGAAGAGGACGAGCGGGAGCGGGGCGTCGGGGCAGAGCGCAGGTGGGGGTACGGCCCGGCCACCCTTTCGGCGGCAGCGCTCCAAAGATGGCGGGCTGGTGCCGCATCCTGTTTGGGGAGGCTGAGCCTCCCCTGGCCTCGTATACCCGCTGCCCATGACGACAGCGGCTTGGCACTGGCCCGAGGAGGATGAGAATGACTCTCTAACCTGGTGATCAGGGCGCTGCCCCAGGATGAGGGAAAGCCAAATTCAAGTCCCGTCTCCAACAGCAGTTTCATTCTCTATGAAAGGTGGGACAGCTTCAAGAGGAGAGAGCGAGCCAGCCCAGGACACAAATGTCCCATACCCTAAGGTGCTGCCCTGGCACGGGAGGAACACGTGTTCGAATCCCTCCATGCCCCCAGGCCGGGAAGGGAATTGGAGCCCAGTCCCACCAGCCCGGCGGCGCGCCCTCACCACAGGTCTGAAGTTTCCAGCGGAAGCTGCTGCTGCCATCTTGTGAATCCTTCAATTGCTGTTGTCCAAGTGGCCAAGGGTCGGAACGAAACATTTGGGTTTGACGCTCCCAACACTAGCAGACTTTTCTGGGGTGGTCGAAAGCCTGCGGCTCATGGTTGTCGAGTGTGCGAATACGTTCAGCTGCCCTGGCCCTGGCCCTGCACTTTCCAGTGAACGAACCTTTTGTTTGTACATTTCCACCCCGCCCCACCGCTCTATTCCTGAGTTCTGTCCTGGCCCGGGAACAGCTGGTGACCATGGTGCCTTGGGCAGCCATGAAACCTTTATGGGTGGAGGGGAGGACTTTTGTCAAAAGACTCTGAGCATCCGGGGCTCCGCTTGATGCCCCCAGCCTGCCCACACGGCACTGTGCCATTGTGAAGAGCAGGGTCCTCAGAGGCCAGTACCCAGCCCAGCAGCCCCACAGCGCAAAGGTAACTGTTAATCTAGCACTCAGCTGGTGGTAAACGAGGCCTGGGTTGAATGGTGGAGAGAAGCTTCCATAGCCCCTTCCTCTCAACAGACAACATGGCTGGGCAAAGCTTGTTTTTTTTCATCTGCCCCCAATGTCTGGTTGAAGTAAACGTTGACCAACGAGCAAGTGGGCAGCTATGGATGAAGAGGCTGGTCTAGGCAGGCCCTGATCCCTTCCCCGTAGGGCCTTTGCCAGTCCTGCCTTAGAGCAAGGCCAGCTCCCCTTCCTCTACCTGCCTGGAGAGACTCCCATTCATAGATTATCAAGGTTGGAAGGGACCTCATCTAGTCCAACCCCCTGACGGATTTTTGCCCCAGATCCCTAAATGGCCCCCTCAAGGACTGAACTCACAACCCTGGGTTTAGCAGGCCAATGCTCAAACCACTGAGCGATCCCACCCCCGGTCTCTGCTCCCTCCATGCCGCCTTGTGGCCATTCCCTCTGAGCCAGTGGGCCCCGCTGCCTCCACTCCATTAACCCACCCCACCCCCTACTGAAACGTCTTCCGTTCCTCTCCTAAGAGGAAGGAGTCCGGTGTCGTAGGTGAGAGATGGTCCTGGGGACCGGAGCTTCTGGGGTCTCCCCCCAGCTCTGCTACACCCCTGCTGTTTGACAGTGAGCAGGTCACGTCCCTTCCTGTGCCTCAGTTTCCCCATCCGTAAACTGGGGATAATGCTATTCTCTCGGTTGTGAGGCTAAAGTCAGTAATGATTTGAGAGTGCTTTGAGGTCCTTGGGTGGAGAATGCTAGAGACAGGCAAAGCACTATCATTAGCTGTTGCGGGGAGCCGGGCTGCCATTCTCCTGGGTTTGGGATGCACACAGAGCATGTATCTTCTGGCAGTTGGGCATGAAAGGCAGGCCAGCCTCACCCAGCTGAGCGCCTTGCCGGGGTGGGGGGTGTGTGGATGTGCGTGTGGTGCAGGAGAGGACAGGCCTGTGGCTCTGCATGGGGTTTGGCACTGGGGGAACAGAGCTAGCAGGCAGCCTGCGCCCGGGAAGGGATGGCACACAGGGAGCAGGCAGAGGATTCTGGGGAACCTCTCGCTGGAATGCGGAGGCCTGCTCAGGCAGCCATGGCTCCCGTGCGGGTCGGGGCGGCTGAGTCTATCATGCTGCGGAGGAGAGGAAGCGAGAGGAGCTGTGGAGGGACAGAAGCCACTAGTCCAAGGGAGACAATGCCCAGCAAACTGCCCTGGAGAGGGGACGGCGCTGGCACAGCCCGTGTGGGGCAGGGCTCCGGGCAGGAGCACGCTCTCAACATGTTCACAGCTGCAGACTGCGCTTGCCAGGGAATGCTATTGATATTGAGGGGAGCAGCCCCCTTCCGGCCGCACTGCGACTGCATCCCCAGCTATTTTGGGACCAGGAAGCAGGGAGGCGACAGGCACCAGGGTTACAAACGTCGGTGCAATGCCACCCCTTGCTCTTGGTTTGATCATCAGCATTGACGTGATGTGTCACTTACACGAGATGGGATAAAACTACACAAGGGACACAGCCCTCCTGCTTCAGGGTGGAAGCTGAAGTGGGGGTCAGGAAGGAACTTCCACCAGGGCTTGGTTATTCCATCGTTTCCCATTATGGCAGATTTTGCACCTTCCTCGGAAGCAGCTGGTACCAACCACTGCTGGAGACAGGGCATTGGTTCTGATCCGGTCGATCAGTTCCGAGGTCCCTAGGGCGCTGCCTGCTTCAGGAATGGCCATTCCATGGGAGGACCGAGGACCCGGCCTCCCTGACGGAGGCGTAGAGAGGGCTGCCCCAGGTAGACCTAGCATGAATCCATGCTGGCCCATGCAGATGACTGTGAGAAAAGCACAAAGGCAAGCGGTGAAGGGAGGGGGCGGCAGGGCTCCTGGGGGAGTGTCACCCCCTGAGACAAAGCTTCTGAACAGGAGTGAATCTCAGCCAAACTACAAGCACCTGGGCGGCAACACAGCTGGGGCTCTCGCTAGGTGTTCGCCTGCACCCAAGCCTGGCTGAGGGTCCGTCCACAGGGCAGAGTTCCCAGCGCCCGGACTCACTCAATCACACAGCACTCACGCTCCCTAGCGGTGGAATGAGGAACACAGAAGGGGAGATCTTACCTCGTAAATATAATCAAAGAGCTCTAGTACTGTAAGGATACTAGCACCAATAAACAATCCCATCTGACCGCCAATGTCACCTAGGGGAAAGAAAACAGCTCGTTTTACTCACATGCTGTCAAAGAAACGTGTTCAGGGAATGCGGATGGGTACCCATCAGTTATGTCTTATCTGGGATTTTCTGAGCATCAATCAGAGCCTCTCTCTCCTGGCTAAGAATGAAATCCCAGGAGACACAAAGCCAGAATTTCCACAGCGCTCTCTGTCAAGGTTTCCCCTGAGGCTGACACGACGGTGACGTGATATTGCATGTGGCACTCACAGCGCGAGCATGGCTTCTTGCTCCAGTCAGCAGGTGCTGAGAGGAGAAAAAAGCTACATTTACTAGAAAAACTCCACATCACACTAGTGATCCAACGTGACAAAGGATCAGGGGCATTGTGTCCCGCAGGGGAGCCCATCGGGTTTCAAACCTTCGCCTGCTAGTTGCCGGGGGCGAGGGAAGGAAAGAAAAGACGGAACGACTCCCCAGGTAGGAAGTGGTTTCCAGTGACTTGTCAATGGGGCTGCACAGTTCGTTTTACAGCGCAGGCAGGGACGGCTGGGGTAGAGCATGGGGGAAACATTACAACACGTGACATTGACTGGAGGGGAAGGCTAAAGGCAAAATGCTCCTAAACAAACAAGACTCCGGTCTTAGCAACTGAACCTCTCCTGCCACACGTTAAAGGGGGTGTGGTGCAGGCTGACAGACCTGCAGGTGGAAATCTTGTGTCCTTACAAGCGATGGTCACGCTGCCTCCTACCCCTGCCCTGGGAATGTCACCGTCTAGGGGTGGAATGCAGTCCCTGTGGCCCACTTTCTTTCTAGATCTCAGTGACAGGAGTGCTCACTACCGATATATAGGTAAATAGCTATGGTGCCAGCAGATGGCGCTCCAGAACAGGGCCTGTGTTTTGTAGACCCTGCTGTTGTGCATGGTAAATGGTTTTCTCTAGCAGCGCTTTACAAGCCCTGGTTTTTCAGGTTCTTTTGCACAATGGCTAGCAAAGGGGACGATTGCACTGCGGGTACCTGAGCACGGAGACCTCGACTGACAACACTAACTCATGTCATATAGGCCACTGCAACAGGCTGCCTTGGCCCCTAGAAACAAAGGGCTTTGTAGCCTACTGCCTCACCCACGTCACTGCTCAGGAGCCCTGAAGCTGCATGAATCCTGTCAAGAACAGAGCCCTGCTGTTCCAGAAAGCCCCACAGCATCTCTCTCTGCCCGCCTGCCCTTACCAGCCGCCTAGCCTTGCGTGGATCCAGCAGCAGAGCTCAGTGACGACAGCCCACATGAATATCTCATCAACGAATGCATCAATCTGTCAACGGACCCTTATTAGCATCCAGCCTGAGTCACTTTCAAGGCTGCAGGGTCGGTAGGTTCTAGTCATTTACTTAGAAGACGTGGAGAGAGACAGTAACAGCAGAGGAAAGGGCTTAAGGATCTGCAATCCTCCCAAAGACCTAGAGGCCACGCTGAGCTGAGCCCGGTGCAAGCATTTCCACAGCTGAGGCACTAGAGGGACAGAGGGCGCCTGGGGAGTTTCCGGGACTGCCACCCTCTGGGTTTGTCCAGTCACCCAAGGTCAAGTTGTGGGAAAAGAGCAAAACAGTCCCGTTGTGCTTCTACTAAAGCAAAGTCTCCAACTCACCTCTGCTCTTGCAGTTCCATTTTTGTTTGACTTCTTTTTCCTTTGCAAATGGAGGAGGTTTCCCTACTGGACTCCCACTGTTTTCCCCCAGGCCACCAGCGAACGATGTCCCTAACCAGGTTGGGCATTTCTGGCATTGCATCACACAGCCTGATTGGAACCAGCCCAGAGTAACTCTGCATGGGACTGACTATTGCATCCGCTCTTGTCTGGATGCTACAATGGGCAGAGATGCAAGAGATGTGGGTTTTAAATAGGGCCACAGACTTGCAAGATCTCAGGCAAGACTCTGAGCTCAGTTTGCCTGTCGCCAAAATGGGGGCAGTGAGATTTCCATGACTCACGTCCCAGAGCACTGGTGTTACACGTGTGCTACATGTGCTCTGAGCTCTCGCCATCCGGCCAGGAGGCCCCTAAGGAGGAGGCAGCCTTTCTTTTTGTGGCAACATGCCGATATTCACAAGGGCGCCTTTTCCTCCCAAAGGGCTTTGGGCAGGGTCAGTCCTCCCGAACGTGGCAAAAAATAGAAGTGCAGCTGGGTGCAAAGTCACGTGAACCAAAGGGTCAGAAATGTTCACACTAATTTCCATGAAAAAGATTTTCACCAATTTCTCCCAACCCTTTCCCCTAGCTGAGGAAAGATGGTCTAGTGGTTAGGGGAATAGCCTGGGACTTAAGAACCCAGTGTTCAGCTCCCTGCTCTGCAACAGTCTGCCTGTGTAACCTGGGGCATGTCACTTAGTCTCTCTGTGGTGCAGTTCCCCAGCACTGCCCAGCCTCATCGAGGTGCTGGAGGCTAAAGAATGTGAGGTGCTCAGATATCTCAGTGAGGGGGACTAGAGACGGGCATTAGCCAATCAGATCAGTGCTTGTGTCTCTGCAGAGTGCCCAAAATAACAGAAACCATATTAACCGCTAGCTTGGTAAGCGAAGGTGAGGGTGCAGGAGCTGTCAGCGGCTGGAAGCACAATTAGCTAAGGCAGGTGTGATCAGCACATGCAGTTCTGCCCCCATGTGCAATCTCCCTTGCTTTGTTTTCTACTCTAGGAGCTGGGCAGGGAAGGGGAGGGGGCTCAGATCGAGTAGTTTGCAGTTGGACCGGAGTGGGTGAGAACAGTGTCCAATTGTTAACATTATGCGAATGAGCGTTACCCAGATTTCGCTTCATCTTGACAGCGAATGGCTTGATAGTTCCGGCTATCATCTTCCTGGCTTTCAAAGCAGTGTGTTCTGTCACTTAAGGGAGTGTCCTGGTTCACCTCCTGCTGTATGAACATCAAAGCTAGCCCAAACAAGCCTCAGAGGAAGCCGCAAACTGATTGTTTTCCCGGTAAGTTACACTGGGAAAACAATGTTTCCCAGCAGCTGCAGTCATAGGCAGAGAGACCAATATGCTTGGCAATAGATAGCTCTGGTGCAAGAACATTGGATCACGGCGAGCCACTGAGACGGGCTCCTTTCCTGTAGTTCTTCCATTGCCGGTACCCTGGAGAGATTCATCCACTAAGTATGAGGCGAAGTGGATAACTGATTATTCACCTTCCCCATTATTGTCTTTGCTGGAATACACAGGAAGCAAAGGGATGCAGCTGGAGGTAATTTGACTGTATGTTCCCAATCTGTCATTCAGCTGCAAGAGTAAAGCATCCATGAACAGAACACGCCGTATTAGTTTAGTAGAGAAACAACATCTATAATATCGCAGCCCAGCGCCCAACGGCACGTTCTGACAGCATTGCTGTTGCAGGGCAATACAGGGTGTTGGAAATGCTACCTCCCTGCCCCTGCTGGTTCCTCCCATCCTCTTGCCCTATGGCCTTCTCCGCCTCCCGCTCTGGAGCTGGGCCCACCCATCCCAGAGTCCTAGAATCTACTCCACACACCCCTAAAGCCAGCTGCCCGCCGATCTGACTCTGGATCCTTCCCCGGTCCCACTTCATAGAATCATAGAAGATCAGGGTTGGAAGGGACCTCAGGAGGTCATCTAGTCCAACCCCCTGCTCAAAGCAGGACCAATCCCAACTAAATCATCCCAGCCAGGACTTTGTCAAGCCTGACCTTAAAAACCTCTAAGGAAGGACCACTTGGTTCCTGGCCAGGTACCTCTCAGCTCGCGGCTGCTCCGAGGAGACGGAGGGGGCAGGAATAAAATCAATTTCACCCTATCTGAGGCTCATGGCTCTGACAAAGCTCTGGGGGAAGGAATCATTCGAACACTCGTTTGAGAATGATTCTTGTAACATCTCCTCAGTTCCTCGCTATCGCTCCTGGCTCTGGTGTCCTGCCCGTTGGGTGACTTGCTGGGAGCCCTCAAGCCTGTCTATTCTCTTCGGAGTATCTCTAGAACCCCAGGGGCGCTGACTTGGCCACAGGAGTAATCAATGACTGGGGAGACCATCTGAGCTCTGCATTCATGACAGGAGGCACTTCGGTCGTCCCTCCAGTAGGCTTCCTGCTTACGTCCGTCTGGGAGCTGACGAGACAACATAGGCTCATGCATTCCCACTGTCCGTAAAACCATTCCTGTGATTTCATCACAAGTCCCAGGATATCAGGGCTTCTTTGAAAGAATTCCCCTGAATTTCTGATTTCTGCCTCTGAGCTTGTGAAGTTTTGCCCTTTTTCCAAAATGGTCGCCCTCCCCATCACTGTCAGTGGAGCTCCCTACTTCTGTTTGCATTGCCAGGACTCTACTTCTGATCCACTTCCCTAGGCCTGGAGATGTCGTGGGAAAGGCCGCTGTTTACCTTGTGTAGTAACTGGAGTTCTTCCAGAGGCATGGTCCCTGCGTGCATTCCACTCGAGGTGCGCATGTGCTCCATGCGTTTGAGACTGTAAGATTTTCACTAGCAGTGTGTTAGTCCGCGTTGGCGCCCTTCTCCTCGTGCTCTGATCCATAGATATAAGAGGCCGTGTGGACTGACCATCTCTCCAGTTCCTTCTCTACTGCAAACCAGTAAGGATCAGCCGCAGAGGGGAAGGAGGGCAGGAAGTGGAGCACCTATGGGGACCACACATCTCAAAGAACTCCAGTTACTGTAAAAGATAAGTAACCTTGCTTTCTTCTTTGAGTGACGGTCCCTATGTGTATGTGACTTGAGGTGACTCACAAGCAGCATTCACTGAGGAGGCGGCGGCGAGGACCTTGGCTGTATCACAGACTGGAGGACTGCTCTGCTGAAGGACGTGTCCGCTGCACAAACTTGCAAAAGTATTGACAGAGCCTCACGTTGCCTCTCTGCAAATCAGAAGAGGGGCATCCGGAAGAGAGGCTACTGATGTAGCTCTGGTCGAGTGGGCCCTCACAACTTGTGGAGGAGGAGTCGCTGTTAACTCGTAGCCAACTAGGATGCAGCCTGAAATCCATTTGGAAAGT